CCAACCCAGCCTGATACTTCTCTTCTCTATCCAAACCCATGTTTTATTTAGAGAATAATTGCCATGCTTTCAGTGCTGCTATTCCCTTCACTTAACCCAGCTGGGAGCAGGAGAGAGCATCAGCTACAGCAGCAGCAAACTCTGTCATCATCTGATGAACAGCATCAATAGGCACCTGCCCAACAAATACAGCTGGACTGAAAGAACTTGTTCTGAAGCCTGGATCTGAATGAAATTTGTCTGTGTAAGAGGGACCAGCCTGGCCCAAACTGCCAGGATGTAGTGCCAAGACACACAGAATGAACTTCACTGCTCCAGGCTTGGGGAAGGAGCTAAAGGAAAGGAACAATGAAGATACCCTACATACTTGGACAATGTTAGTGGAGATGAGCTGGGGGCGAGTTTGGCACAGCTCGAGAAGGAATGCCAGTCCTTCCAGCCGTGTCTGAAACCCCTTGGCTTCCAGGAGATCGTAAAGCTTCTGGAGCGGCTCCGTTTCTTCCACAGATGGAGGTAACGTGACCTGGGCTTTTGCACGGTGGAGGAGGCGTCCCTCAGAGGTAGACTTCACCCTGGAAAATAAAACCAAATTAGAACTTGGTGGTGATAATACCTTCAGTTAATGGAGAGCAAAACATCTCGAGGAGCATCCCTAATGATGTGATTTCCAGCTAGAAAATCATAGGCTCTGAAAAACAACGTGGACCTCATGACAATCATTACAGGAGACAATCTGCGAGTAACATTCTCACCAGTGCTCACTCAGGAAAACCAAGGATGAGATGTATCTGATCTACCTTCAGATGGCTTCCCAGGCACAAAGGTCTCATTGCTTTGTGGGGAAAGAGAATTTAAACTTGCAAGTTTAAATGCCTCCTCATAGGGGACATGTGTGTCTTATAGTAAGGAAACTCATCACTCTGGAGAAGTGTCTCTACAGCAGGCATGACAATCTGTAACAGTAGCTCAGATGCCTCTGAACAGATGAACAGGGGCATATCTGAAGGATCCAGGAAATCAGTAACAGAGATAAAAACAGAAGGCAGACATCCCAGCACTATGCTAACTTTATGTTTGCTTCCCCAGAGACTAGATCCACAGCTTAACAAACCCACAGGGAACAATTCTCCTGCATCAACCTGTCTCTTCCATGAGCATTCCAAGTTCCTAGCTATGCTACTGAGGCATGTGCTCACTCTTCTGCCACCACTGAGCATGACAGAGCTAAAGAACTCTCCTCTGTTATCACAGGAGAACAGGTACAAGTAGCTCTGCCCCTAGCAGAAAGGACAGCAAGGACCAAATTGCTGTCTTAAATTTGGACTGCAGCACAGGGGGAGATAAACCAAACATGCAGTCCATCAAGCAAACAGTGTGAAGGACAGGAATATCATAACAAAACATCCACATTGAGACACCTGTTGACCAATGTCGCTTAGGAATTGCCTTGATACTTACTACTCAAACTTGGTACAGTTTGAGAGTAAGAAAGCCATGAATCAGCCAGGCCCAACAACTTGCATGGGAGCTGCTTGTTTGGGGAATGGCATCTTGTTTCCTGACTGGGACTTCTCATCAAGACACCAATCTGAAAAAGACTCCTCTCTGATGAAAACAACCAACCCTGATTGAATTTACTTGTCCCAAGTCCGGCAGCAGAGACACAGCCCTCTCCATGCCTCCACAACACTGCCCTTGCCAGTGCACTGCATCGTCTGAGCCACAACCAATGGGTGTCTTTTTGTTGCCCAATTTCTGTGGAAACCTCTCCAGAGAAGCTGTGTTCAGTGTAATGCAGAAGTAGCCAATTTTTATCATGGAGCATTTGTAGGGAATGGAAACAATCTCTGGTACGGGTCATCTGCCCCAGAAAGATTTTCCTGAGGAAGGACATGTAAAGCTTGTCACATGCTTTGTCCCATCTAACAAAAGTGCTCAGTACCGTTTACTAGAAGGCAATGTGGCCTGGGGCTTCTTCGAGGAATCGCTGCTCTTCTTCACCGGCATCTTGACTGATGGGCCTTCACCCTTCTGGCTTTCCATCTCCTACAAAGACATAAAGAAACCCCATGACTCTTTAGAAAATGCAATAGGAAACTCCCTGTTTAAAACACAAGTTGGAACCTCAGGATCACGGCTACCAAGGCTTAGGGAGACATTTCCTAGCTTACAGAAGGCAACAGACCAGAGATTCAGTGATGCCAACTCTTTGTTCTCAATAGCCCAAGGCAGGTTATGGGTGCTGCCATACTGAGCAGCACTCTAAAATCCCAATTTCATTAGGCTTGAGCAGAAATGGGAATAATTCAAACTGGTAGGCAATGAGTGTTCTTTAAGGAAACAGCAGAAAAATTTGGACTCTCTGGGAGCTGGCCCATTGTGTTGGAAGTTGATTCAACACTCGCTCTCCCTGTTCCTCTACAACATCACGCTCCCTTCTATAATGTAGATAAGAAGAATAAAAAAAACCCCACAAACAAACAGATGGTTTTCCACTGGATGCTGCTGAATTCACCAATCTTCCTCCAGCTCCATAGGGTTAAGAGCTATAATGCAGTAGGACAGTATTCCCAGCAGACAGATGGTAATTGTAGTAATCAGGATTGACATGTACATCTTTTGCATATTTGGAAGTTTTCCTGGCACTACAACATCCAGTGTCTTTTGCATAGACTATGTTATCTTCAGAAGCACTATTCGCATTTAATTCCTTTACTGGGGGCATAGCAGGGAGAGCATGGTGAGGGGTTACACTTAAATGAAAACCCTTTTTCTCCTCTTCCCCTTTCCCCTTTGTGATATTCAAAATATTCAAAACCCCACTTTTTCACTAAGAATACCAGTCCCTTTGTAGTCTGCAGGTGAACAAGCTGAGGATTAACAGCTCATTCCCAGGAGCAAAGTGATTCAGAAGGATGAGATAAAGACTAATTAGGTATAATTGATCTCATATAAGCATTGGCAATCCTTGCACAAAGGAGACATTTCTCCTGCCAAGCACTTACTTTCTTCTTAATTCTTGTCAGAATATCTTCCAGGTCACGGGTAGAAACAGATTTCTCCAAAAGCCTTTTAAATTTTGGATGACTTAGCATCATCTTCACCATCTCCTGTCCACAATGCCTAAGGAACAAAGGAAGGGAAAGAAAGAAAAGTGAACAAACATAGGAAGAGTGTTAACAGAAGAGGCTGATACCTTAAACCCATCAGGTGCAATCCTTGCATAAGAAGGCATTACCTACTCAGCAAAGAGAGACATTTACCTCCACTTGTCGCTGCACAGTGCTGTCAGCTGAACACAAGAGGCAAGAGGAGAACGTGGGGCAACAGAAAATACCATTTGATTCTGAAACTGTGTGTGTGCTTCTGTGGGATCAATGGATCCCAGGGAACAATCAAAACACATCTGCTTGGTTGTCAGAGCCCATTAGCAGTGTCTTGCTGCCACTGCACAATAATTTGCCTTCCTTTAACAGGCAGGGAGGCCAGGACAAAACACCTCTAGCTTCCTATTGATTATTCTATACCATATGTATGGACAGGGGCAGCTAGTTGCTCCTGTGTTATTGGCAGTTATTAATGGGAATCTAATCATCAACGTAAATGAATATAATTATCAAAGTAAGGGGATTTTGGTGGTTTGGGTTGATTTTGCCACTAGGAAACCGCAGTGGTCTTCAAGAAGCAATTTGGAGGTCATTCAGCCACAGATAGCAGCATTATAGAAATCTGCAAGAGAGGTTTAGAAAGACTGAATACATTGGCTAAAGACCCCTGAAGTATTTCTAGGAAAATCTTAAGTTAATGAGAAATATATATTTGGGATCCTTCAGTGATGAAAAGTAGGCAACACTTTGGCTTTGTGTGGTGCACCTAAGGCCAAACAAAACTGTTAGTCTGGCTAATCTGAGCTCTTTTGATCTCAGTCAAGAATCCTTCAAGTCACAGGAAGCTGGCAATGCTCCTTCTTGCTGGACAACCTCAGGTTACCCAGTACAGTCATTTCCCTGGGGAACCCAGAGCACTGGTCACAATACCAAGGCTGACAGAGCTCAAGAAGGGTTTGGACAATGCTCTTGGGCACATGGAGTGTCTCTTGGGGTGTCCTGCACTTGGCCAGGAGCTGGACCTGATGACCCTGATGAGTCCCTTCCAATTCAGCGTATTCCATGATTCTATGCCCCTTATCCACATGGAGAGGTAACATATTATTTCCTGTAGTTTCTACAATTTTGTGGGTTTCCCTTTTAAAGCCAGACACCAAACAGATTTCCTGTTTTAGGAGGTGAAATGAAGATCATTACCTTGTGTCCTTGTGACAGTCCTGAGCAAGCTTCCCTGCCACCTGCGCCAGGGTCTCAGCCCTGGGTGTGTCTGCGAGCTTCGTGACTCCAATTTTCCCCATCAAGGACAGGAGGAGTTTGGCCGCACACTTCCGCACCTGGACATAGCGGCTCCTGGGAAGAAGAGAGCAAACACTGGGACACAGGGAGAAGGAGGCACAGCAGCACAGGCCTTGGCCAGAGAATGCTCCCTGTCCTTGCTGAGCAAAGGAGGCCTGGGTTCTCCCTGCAACTTTAGACACCTGTAGGAGGTTCTGTCCTCAGATAAACACAAAGTTAGCATTGAACAGAAGGACTGCCTGCAAGGAAGAGGGAGGAATTCAGTCTCCCTGCATTATCTGATACTCAATTTCTTTCCCAAAATTTACTCTGAGAAAGTTTTAAAAAATAGATTACATATGAATAATTTAGGAATTAAAGACAGCCCATGAATTAATGACAACCTATGCTGACCCACTACACAGAGCTGCAGCAGGATTGAGGCTCTTCCCACCCATTTATCCCCAAATCTGCAGACCATTGAAAAACAACAAATGCAGGGAAAACATGCTGTGGGGCATGAGGTTGCAGAATATCCAGCAATGCTGCCTGTTCCTTCTGTGAGGCTTGGCAAGGGATACATCTGAATGTTTTACCCTATTCCAAAGCTGAGGAAGGGGTGGCAGGCAGTTTAGCCAGGTTGTCCTGTTCTAGAGAGTGTCTCTTGGGAACTATCAGGCCCAGCACCAACACTGAAGGCAGCATTTGCTTCAGCTGTCCCATGGCAGTCAGCCTGTGAAGGTGCCAGTAGAGTGATTCATCATCTCAAGGCTAACATGAAACATCAGTTTGAATAGAAAGTAGAGCTCTAAGGCCAGGACAGTACTACAAGACTCCTTTTGGCAGGAGCTGCACCTGCTGTGCAGGCTGTGCCCCATCCAGCACATTCTCCCCCATGTGCTCCTTACCCCAGCAAGTCCCCTCCTTCTTTCTCAAGCTAATGGCATAATGAGGATGCATGGTTTTTCCCAGGGCCTCTGTGCTTGGCGCTGTGAAATATCAAAGAGCGCTCACAGCTGCAACTGCAACTGTCCCTCTTCCCACAAAAGCCCAAGGCTCTATCCTTAGCCTTTGCAGGCACTTTCCCTTCCCCACCATTCACCAGTTCTGGGAAGCTCTGACAGGCTGGGAGGACTCCAGGAAGCAGCAGGAAGCTGAGTCAGGGGAGGTTTAGGTTGGATATCAGGAAAAGGTTTTTCACCCAGAGGGTGGTTGGGTACTGAAACAGGCTCCCCAGGGCAGTGCTCACAGTACCAAGCCTGACAGAGTTGAAGAAGCATTTTAACAACAATCTCAGGCACTTGGTGTGATCCTTGGGGTGTTCTGTGCAAGGCCAGGAGCTGAACTCGACGGTCCTGATGGGCCCCTTCCAACTCCCCACATTCTACAGCTCTGTGATTCTGTGAACTAATAGGCTGCAGGAGGGCAGAAATAGGTGACAAGAGGAAAGAAGTGAGGTTGGTGGGAGAACAAAGTCACTGACTTCACAGAAGATGCAGGATGCAGGAGCCTTCCCTCCCACCATTCCCATTCTGTCTCTCATCCCTTCCCCCACCCACACACAAGAAGGTGAAGAAGATCACTAAAAGAAGAAGAAACTACTTGTCTCCCCTGTCCATGAGAGCAGCCAGTGCTTGTGCAGGACTCACGTTCTCAACCATGATCCCCAGGGTCTGATTGGCTGCTTTCTCAACAAACTCTGGGATTGGCTGCTTTCTCAACAAACTCTGGAGAATTCCAAACCACTGGGAGCAGGACCTGAGCAACCTCATCCACCTCGGAGTCCATGTCCTTCTTCAAGGTTGCAAAGAGCTCTCCAAGAGTGACGATTGCAGTGTAGGACACCTTGGAGCAGAGGTTGCTCACCTGGGGAAGTGATGAGAGAAACATAAGAATCACCTTGAAAAGAAAACCTGTGGCCTTAGACAAAAGTCTCAGGAAATGACAACACTTTGTCCAGGAGAACAAAAAGCACAATAAGAGCAGGAGAGCTCAAGCACAGAAAGACACTTAGTCTGGTACCAATTTCGGGCCTCAGACCTGCTGACAGCAGGCCTAAAAACAATTTCACTTAACTCTTCTATAATGTCCACCCCTTTGATTGAGGTCCTTTTGTTCAGAAACAAACAAATTAAACACGGGCTGCTAGCAAACCGTAAGGCACAAGTCATAAAGACAGAAGAATCATGTGCTCCTGTTCAAAAAAGCAACACCAGAAGTTGAAGCACTCAGCCAAGAAACGGAAAGCACAGGCTCAAGTCTACAGACTAATTGGCAGTGTTGAATTACAGCTCAGGCAGAGGTTAAGACTCTGGTAAATAACATAATTAGTGTCTCAGTTTGTGCATTTGCACCTTGCACTACAATGACACCTCACTCAAAGATGAGTGTCAGACACCCAACCTACCAGGAAATACAGCTACATGCACACACACATCCTAGCTGACAGACACTAGAAATATAAGGTCTAAAAACAGAACTGGAGGCAATCCCTGAGCACACATGGACATGAACATGCACATATCTACTCTACACACCATGTATGAAGTACAGGGGACAATTCAGAAGAATGTTCTCACCTCGCTGGTAACTGCCAGGCAAATTTCACAAAGTCTGCAAAGCACGACTTCTGAATGGGACCCAGCCAGCTGTTTGATGCTTCTCCTTCAGCTCCCTGAAAGGCAAGTACCAAAAAGATTGGTTTTTCTCTCCACCCAAGAACTAGGCAGCACCCTCTGAAATGACCAGGCTGGCAGCTCAGGGGCACCTCAGTGGGAGGTGCTTTTCAAGGAGCACTTAAGCAAATTGTGCAACTTGTTGCCACAGGATGCTGTGGCTGTCAAAAGCATACACAAATCGACGAGGCAAATAGAGGATTTTTCTCAGAGTCTTCATTTGTGGCCATTTTACAAGATAGCCTTTCTGAAACCTCTGGCCCATGAAGTTCCTCTGTCACTGCTTCCTAGAAGCTGTGAGACCAGACCAAGTTGCTGTTTCCTGTCACCTCCCTGTTCCTGTCCCTGAGACACAGTCCCATCGGGCTGTTCCTGGGGCATTTTCCTTCTTTACCAGCCCCAGCAGGCAGTTCAGCAGTAAGAGACTGCACTGGCACTCTGGAGCTGACTTTCCACTCTGCAATCTACGCCTGTCTGTCACCCACTCCACTCCTCCTCCACATTGCCCAGAAAAAAGCAGCAGCATGTCCCAGAAGACTCCACACCTGGGCAAGAACACTTGAAACTCTGGCAAAACCCCCTACCTAAAACAACCCCCACAACAGCAACGTGTTATTTAAAAGGTGCAAACAACAACTCCATCTCTCAGCACCTGCTTTGTGCAGGCCCTCAGCTACAGGAAAGTTGGTGAGGCATCAGGGATGCAGCACAGGGCTGGTGATCGATCCCACGGGCACCCCTGAGTGTCACCCAGACACCCCCACACCTGCAGATGCTCTCTGCACCTCACAGGGCACCAAAGAGAAATGAGGAAGAGAAAGCAGAAGAGAAAGGGCAAAGCAAAGGCGACTGCACATGGAGATGCATTGTAGCAGATTTTTCATGTTTATCCCAATGTGAATGGAGTCCTTATCCCCATGTGAATGAAGCATTCACCAATGAGTGGATCCTAACACAGACATCAAAAAGACAATCAATACTGATAGTAAAAGGTTTTAAAATCATAGAAAATCTGGGGACTTAGAAAGAAATTTAGGCTTGGCAAGCCCTGGGAAAAGTAGGTCCTGGGAATGGTTGGCCTTGTGCTTGCTAAAGATCATGTGAAACTGCACCTGTGTAATCAGTATATGATGAATGATACAATTGTTAGATGTGATTAGATACAATTATTGTTTAAAGAACATGAGAAACAATGTGAGGGGTTTGAGAGGGGATCACGAGAAATTCCTGCTTAAGTAAAAACAATGGATACAATAGAACAATATAAGTTTAATAATTAATATGTAAGTTATATAATGATAGAGTATAAAAACATGTTCAGCTCGAAACCAAGGTGGGTCAGGTTTGGGTATGAGTACCCCTGACACCCAGAGCTCTTCAATAAAGCACCTTCATATAATCATTCCATGATTATGTGTTCCTGAACGCTAACAATACCAACTAACATTTGTCAGGTTAGCACCGCTGGGCCTCCTTCTGTCTATGTCAAATTTTGGGACACGATGTGAGTTTTGACCAAGCATCTCAGGCCCATATGATGCAGTGAGAAGGAAAAAGTTGAAGGAAAAAGTTGAATTCCAAAAGTGCAAGATTCCTAGAGGATTATATTTCTTTTTCCTTCTCTTCTGCCATGAGCCCTTCTACAGTAATGACAGGCTGAGGGACTTGAAAGCACAAGTCAGGCCATTTCTCAGAAAGAGGAACTCCCTGGAGCTGCTTGTGGCATTCACATGCAGGAGGTGCCAGGGAGACCCTGTCAGCTGCCATTGCTGTCAGCAGTGGGACCAGAGAGAAGAAACCTTACTCAATCCCACTGGGCCAGTGCCCCAAGGCACCCAAATCTCTACACTCAAAAGTGCTGCCGTCCTGCTTCTGCCTTCAGCCAGCAAATCATCTTGTCCCACAGCTTTCTCTCTTCCCTCAAGATTGCCTTTGCAGCTCCATGAAGCAGCAGGCAAAGCCAGCAAAGAGCAGGGACCTGCTGCAGCTGGAGCACTGCTGCAGACCAAGGCCAAGGAAAGGCTGCTGTCAGATCTTTATCCTCCCACTGCTCTGCAGTGGTTTCACTGGTGCTCCTTGGCCCTCTGGGCTCTTGGGGCTCAGAGGCACTAGCAAGATCCACTTCTGAGCTACCTTAACGCTAAGAGGGAGACAGAGTGAACGGGGCCTTTCTTACCAGTCATCGCTGCCCAGCAAGGAGAGTGCCTTGAGCAAGGCCTGCTGTGGGTCACAAGAGGCTGTGTCCTTCTGCCTGTTCCCACGCAGCGGCTCCTCTCGACGCTTGGCACCAGTGGCCGTCTGCCAGGTCACTGTAAGGACAGGGTCAGCCATGAGCGCTGCAGCCCCGGGCAAGGCACCCCGCCATGGAGCGGCCTGCAGCCCCACCTCCCAGCCAGGCTTCCATGTGGGACAGAGTGGCACTGGCTCAGACACTTCCCTGCTGCCTGGCTCCTTGGGCTGCTTGCTTTCTCCCAGCCCCCCCAGCTGGGCACAGCTCCAGGCTAAAGCTGACAGCTGCCCACACAGCGCCAGCTCCCAAGTGCCACAGCTACCACAGGCAGCGGCAGCTTCCTGAGGCCGCCGAGCTCCCACTGCCTGCCAGACAGCGCCCACCAGCAGCACTTGCTACCCCAGGAGGGAACCCCTCAGCTGCCTCTCTTGTCTCAGCACCCTGATTTCCCCCAGCCCCGAGGACAGAGGCACTCTGCAGCTCCCTGAGGAAACACCTGCAGCTGCCTTGCCACAGCCCCAAGCCAAGGCTGAACAACCCAGCCCTGCTGGGCCCGGCTGAATCCCCACGCAGCAGCGACCAGGGAGCAGCGATACCTGACCCTTCACTCCTGACAGCGCCTCTCTTTCCATTGCCTTCAAATCTTCTAGACAGCAGGCAGCTGACTGCACATACATTGTAGCCTACTGTTGGCCAGGGAGTACTTTATGGATTTTGCTCTTTCCAAGCATCATGAATCTTTGCTCTTGCAGAGGTACACACTGGCTGTATTTCAAAGATGCTGAGGTGAAATTTGTTTGTCATCAAATGTTCATGTTTGTGAACTCAGCAGTGCCTAAGCCTTCACTTGTGGAAAAATGCAATTTCCAGTCTAGACAGTTGATAAAATAGCCTTCCAAATGCAAACTCTGATAAAAATATGCAAATACAGCTGCAAATGGTTGCCAGACACATGCTCTTGATAATCAGGTGTCCAGGCTTTGTCTTAACTGAATTTTTTTGTAAGGAAAAAAATGTACATGGTATGAGAAAAATCAGATAATAAAAGCATTTCTTATGAAACCAAATTGTCATCAAAAGCACTGTCCATCCAAAATTTCATGTTGTGCACTCAAAAGATCATTTACTAATGTGTGGATGAAAACATCTGAGCTGTCTACAATGACGGAGTATAAACATTGCACAGAACCCAGATGAACTGCTCTAGACTCTCCAGGGTTTCTGTGCTACCTTGCCTGTTCTCACAAAGTATACCATAACATCTAAAATATTCAGCCAGGAGCTAATGTGGATGTCACTGATGTACCCCAGACACTGACATCAGTGATGTCACTGCAGAAGTGTGTAGACATACACATCTAGGTTCACTACCAATGGAGAGCCATGTCACGCTAGTTCTGGTCAATTCTGAACATGGAAGTAGCACCTCTAGAAAGGAGCATTCCAAGTATCAATCCTAGCTCCTTTCTTTTTCATCTCTCCCTACTTGGAATGATAGCACAGGCACTCTACCCACAAGGGAGAGACAAGAGCCACTGGGACTATCTGCTGGGTATTTACTGCAGGCAGCAAACAGCCCGGGAGCACCAGGCAGCCCCGCCCGGCTGTCACCTGCTACATACGGCCACTGTACTTGGCTGGGGGGACACAGGAGGCACTGCTTGTTCCCTCTTGGCATTGCAGGCCGTGGGATGGCAGCAGTGAGGAGCCACTGGGCACTTCTGGGAGCAGCAGCACGACTGCACCAAGGGCTGACTGCCATGCAGAGACAGCCCTTGCTGGGATAGCAGAAAGCTGGCTGCAGAGCCGGACAGCAGCACGGGCAGAGGGCCGAGATGGTGAGTGGACAACTGATCGTGGTGGTACT